TTAGTCAAAAAATAGGCAGAAACGTATAATAATAACTACGTGACGTGATAAGCGATCATTGAGGACATAAATAACTTGTTGGAAATATTTTTAAAGTTTGCTGTTTTGTAACACTCAGAGATTCTCATACGACTCAGAAAAATGAATGGATACTTCGAAAGTCAGAGTTAAAATCCGAAATAAGATGATTTATAATTATAATAAGAACAAATAATGATTATTTACCGTTAAGTGTTGACATAAATGTGCCATGTCTTTACATATCTTCAGCAGAACAAGAAAGAAAAAAAAGAAAAGAGAGAGAGAGGAAGAAAAAGAAAAATAAGTATAAAAAAGGATTACAATCCTGCAATCACTGATAATAGAAAACTGTACGAAGCAACGATAAGAATATATAGGTAAGTTGCACTTCAAGTTCAGTTAAACTTCGGCATCCGTAATTTCTGTGTAGTTGTATCTAGAGATGAGTGTAATTGGAAAAAGATCAAAAAATGGTTCTTTAATTTGATTTCACAAAGGCAAATTTTGCCGTTGTCACGATTTCTGTTGCCAAGTAATTTCGATGTAGTCGTTTGAACAGTCCATTCTGGAAGAATAATCTTATACCCGAGGCGAACTTCGTCGAGACACAGCAATGGTAATGCACATAAATGAAAGCAGGGGAGGGCATATTGTTTTGATGGTCTCTCTCCGCTATAAGAAGAAGTGCATATTCATAAACCTTTACAGAATATATAAGACCTGTCTAAATTATTTAAGTATTCATTTGCTGAAAGTTTTGCGATGGTAGTATGTAGTTTTTGTTCACATTTGTTTGTTGTACTCTTAGAAAGTCTAATTTCCAACCTAAAACAGTAACATTTTTTTATTACTTGAATTCTTTAGTCCTTTGACTAAATCGATTCTAAAGGAGCATCTGAGTTCTATGACCATAGATACTTATAGTGAACTGAATTCAAATAGAATAAGTGAAAAAAAAATAAGAAAGAACGTAAACGTGAACCAACAAACACGACATGAAGAGAGAAAATGAACAAAGTCAATAAAAAGATTGTGGAGCTAACATGTTTCAAAAAATGAGTAATACGTGTGATCTATTCAACGAATAAATCCACAGCCACATCCACACATTTGAATAGAAGAGATATTCGAAGTTGACTAATGAACATATATGTCACGCACATATATGACATTGAACATTATACCATGAATCATCTTTCAAAAATTTTAGTAGTGTAAACACTATGCCTCACAGTAGGATGTGAGTGAAAAGTTACAATATTTTAAGCAAGTACATGTAGCAAAATTTTTCTAAACAAATACAAATATCTTTTTATTCTAATAAAAAAAAATCAAAAGTTATTTATGACGATTGCCGAATCTTACTTGAAGAACTTCATAACGAAAGCTTTGTGCGTTTCTAAGATGTATAACGAGATTAACTGGTGACATTATCGGTATTAGATGATAACATAGAAGAATCTGTCACATCATTTCGTGACACATCTTGCTGTACCAATTCGTTTTCTCGATTAATCGTGTTATTTGGAATAGACTTTTTAAAAAATTTTGATCATATAACATTTTGATGCTTTAATACATTCTTAATAATTAAATTAAAATTAACAAAGTAATTTCCTAAGTTAATAGGCACACCGCCAGCGCATTATATAATAGCTTCTTCAGCTACTCGACTGCATACTAGTGTTAAATTGTAATCAATATTTTCGACCGATGTCTCATTTGAAACAAGAAGCATTAATTTATTTTTACTAAATCATTCATTCAATAACTAAGTAATAAAATCACGGTGTTTCAACTCATTCATTTCATCTGAATGCAAATGAGAGAGATTTAAAAAGATCATCTCTAATAAAGAGAACTTGATGTTGTTTCATTTTTATATTATAAAAATTAGATTTTATTTTTAATAAATAAAAATAAGGAATGTTGAAAAAGTACGCAAAAGTCTACATAATTGTACGAATATGAATAAAATAATTATTCTCAGCATGAAATTACTGATCCTACAGTTGAGCGACACCTTATTCATTGTATATTCTTTTAAACTCAACTTTCTTGTGCATTCATATTTTATTCTTTTCTTTAATCATGTAAAAAAATAAAGGAAAAGTTATTGTTAGCCTAAAAAATATAATATTTTTCAGATTCTTCTCTAACAATGAAGACTTCTCTACCTCAATTGTTTCCTTTAAATATGAAGGAAAACAGCGTGATTGTATTAACATTTTCAATGTTTTTAGAATTTATTATTATGTAAACGTTAGTTTTTTAACATTGAAATGTTTATCTGAATGACATTAATTCAATATGACTATAATACAAAACATATAGACTTATGAGTTTTTGCTTAGGTTACTAGCGCACATAAAAAAGTATATTGGAGTACTCAAAAAACATCTATTAACATATGACCAGCAATCAACAGCTGTACTCAGCTATTTAGATATAAGCACGTGTTCCAAGATTCAGTAAAAAATATTCTTGAATGCTAAAGAGAACTCTGAATCTCCACACCTATCCTTATAATTCACCTTGATGATCGATCAACTGAGCGCCAACCCTCCACAAATCGAAATTAACCGTATAAGTTCTATATTCACATTGTTTTGAATTTATTAATCTATAAAAAAAGATGGCGTGCCAAATTTTTGCCTCTCAATATCCAATATAGTCGATAATCAAGAAAATAATACAAATCGAAATCTCATCAATTTTTTAAAATTGTTTTTGTTTAAAACCGATTAAAATGTGTGCAAAAAACTAAGTTTTAATCAATTTCGTAGTATTATAAGCTGTATAATTTTTATTCAGTTTATCTTATTTTACATTAATAATAAAACATTTTCATTATCATTATTGAGTCCATATTAATTAAAAATAATCAGAATAGTCGATTTAGAATTGATTTTTCACATCGATTTTTATATAGAGACTATGCAGATGTGAAAAAATAAATCACCAATGATGTGAACATGACCAATCAGCATCATATACAGATGTTGCTGAACAATGGTGGCGAATAATTGAAATTAGATTTAGGGGAAAAGGGTTCATTAAGATGTTCTTTCTATATATTTCATGTCGATTGGCGTTTTCGGTTTGAATTCTTTTTACTTGAAAAGTATGATTTAAACATACGAGATGAACAAAAATATCACAAAATAACTTTTTATAGATACAAGCCCTGCATTTGTAACTATTTTCTTGGCAACGTCTAATCGTACAGAAATCTTGCTTAATCCAGTAGGTACACTGAAAATTTTCTGGAGAAATTCAAAGTAAACGCTTTCTAGAAATCCTTTGGAAATCTATACAGATCTGAACGTGAAAGATTTTCCAAATTTTAGATTTATTTGTCATATATTACAGTCTTGAACGCAGAAAATCGCTTGAAGCTAGCCACTAGCATTCGAAAGTTTCTAATATGTCGTGGCAGGCTCTTTTTTTTTAAATAATAGTAGTTCATTTGAATACGAGGCGCATATTGGGAAAGACCGCTTTTATGTTGTTAAGCATTCATAAAGACTTGTCATTATATTTTTTTGACTTATACATGAAAACGTTCAACAACGATAGTCAAGATATTACTGGCTAATACCAATTTTTTTCAGAATTGAGAAAGACTTTGATAGAGAGTCGTACCATAGGTGGAACCTATACTGGTGATCGACTGATCTATTGGTAAAACTAGTGTATCAACTGACCTATAGAAATATGAAAACTTTAGTTTTGTCGTCTCGAAAAGTATTAAATGTGTTTTCATCTGCAAGTCAATTGATGGGTAGTTTCAGCAATTCTTAAGACATATCGACGTAAAATAATTTTACTATACAGCTCATGCTGTCCAAATTTGAAATAAATGTCATAAATATTACTTTTTTTTACTTGCTATTTAATAGAGAGAATTCGTCTTTTCTTATGTCAGCCTTTTCTAACGTCTATGTCCTCACTTGATTTCAATATTATCCCCCCGTAAAACTTATAATGCACTGTTAGAAATGAAGTTGAAATTTCTAGATCTTAGTTTATTTGGAGTAGCCATTTTTGCCAATACCCAGCTATTGAAAATTATTTATTTAAAGTCACTTGTTGAATAAATAGACAAAAAAACTAGTAAAAAGTCGCCGACAAGCAGTTTATAATACGATTGAGATGGTACAGAAGTTAGATAATGTGTATACTTTAAGTAAAACAAGTAACAATAGCAAATCAAACGAATAAGTTCAGTGAATTATGAGTCTACAATTATAGCATACATCTGATGATTATGAACATCAGAAAATTTGATGAATCTAGTTATTGACTCACATGCTTAAAAAATGCGGATTTGTTCTTTTTTCGGTTTATTTTTTTGTCTTTCGTTGATATATGCCTGTGACTGATTCCTTGCTCAGTTTTCGGATGCATTTTAGTTGCTATTGAATTGAAAAGATTTTTAGTTTTGTCATTTCACATAGAGCATGACCAATCCAACGAATTTTTACGCTCACACTTGTTATTCGAACTCAAATAGAATTTTATCAATTTTGGACAATCTACTAGCAAGTCAATATTTGAAAATAAAAAGTATCTACAATATACTGCAAGATTTTATTTCTACTCAATACTTTTTATATAGCATTCTTACTACAATTTACTTTTGGCATTTTTGTAACGATGAAACTTTATTCTACCTATCGATCGGTATTCCGTGGTTTCAATTTTTTACGTCACTTTTTGTATTTACCAATAATGAAAAATTATCTCCTATTTTTCGGCTTGGTGCAGTTTCATTATTCTTTTGTTATCTTGCTACCCACATGATTTGTATTTTATTGTGGTGGCAACAATTTAGGATAATCGAATTCGGATTCAATGTATTTATATGTTGCTACGGATTTTACTACTTTATTCACATTATATCTCTGATAATTCGATTTACTGATGGAAGATTTTTTATCTTGTCTCTATTTGGATGGAAAAATGGTTATAAAGTCATGTGGATAACAGATATAGACATAGCAAAACAGGTTTTACTAGCTTCAGAAAATAAGGGTTCATTTATTGAAGAAAAAATTGCTTGTCCAGCGTGGTCACCTGTTCTTTCTCTCGAATCTGTCAATGGCGATACATGGAGAGATCTCAAGTCGAAATTTCTTATTTTTCAAAAGTATCTTCCCCCTACGAAACAGCTCACAAGTGTATTAAGACGTATTTTATCTTCACAAGATGGAAATATTGAGATTGATGCAAAACAAGTTGTTCGAATCACGTTAGCGTGCTTTGTCAAATGGATTTTTAATCGAGACTGGGATCCTAACTGGGATTTTGTCTGCGAAGCATCATGGGAGTGGCGTAAAGAAATTGCAGCAAAAGGAAAAGCAGATCCACTGTTAAAATGTAGAACAGTTGACTGGCTAATCGACTTGATAAATCAATCAAATTACTATGAAATATTCGGTGAACAATGGTCAACCCCAGAATGTTATTCGGTCATCATGCAGCCATTTCTTTTATCTCCTATGATAAATTTTAGTGATATTGCTGTATCTGCTAGTCGACGACCAGATCTGTCCATTCAAGAGTTAATTCATTACTATCATCCGTTTCCAATAATTGAACGTTATATTGAGAAAGACATTGTAATATGTAATGATGGTGTTAGTAGTGTGCTCGTCAATGCCAACACTCAAGTATTTATTCCGTTGGACACGATTGGACAAAGAGAAGAATATAACCACAAGCTATGGACTCCATTTGGAATCGGACCTAGAAAATGTCTAGGTTCTCAATATGCACTTGCATTTCTAACTGAATTTATTACACATTACAAAAATAACCCTAAATTTGTACCTGAGAAGAATCACAAATATAGCGGAAGAAACAATGATAATCTGTCACTATCCGAATCAATGTATCAATTGACTCTGTTTGCTAAATTGTTGATTCTTGACTGATCAGAAAACTTTTTTGGTTCGATAAATCATATTTTCTATAGTTTGATCATACAACTCCTGTAATTATATGGCACTTATGACTATGACTTCGTTATATATTTCGCTACCAATTTTTATTCAAACGGTAACTTTCTCTTTCGCTTGACTTCTTATATATACCGTTGTTGATGCACTGGCCATGAATGATTATTGTTCACTACATTTAGGTGCAGAAAATGAACTCGACTTCTTAATAGAAAAATCGTTTTTTTTTGTAATAAATTTCCGTTTCATAATATTACTCTTGAGAATGGTTTTCTGTGCTCAATGCGGCCGGACCAATCGGAAATTATAGCAAGAAAATAGATAAAATCATCGTCTGAACTTAAATTAATGTGTTAATTTTTATTGCTGGTTAGTATTCATACTATAAATACAAAATTTTACACTGTAAGTGTAGATGAGGTTCTGATGGAGGTTTGCTGGTTGAATATTTCTTAAGATTTCGATATGTAGGTTGTGTTTCGTTTTGGTTTTGTCAGTGCTAAGAGTGTGGATGTAGTTGTATGTGCTTTTTATCCTTTGAACCAAACACCCACACCCACTCTCTCTCTCTGTCGTATGAGGATCCAAACGTAGAATTCCCGCAAGTCTCAGTATCCTTACCAACTTCCTTAGTTTCCACATTCACCTCTACTTCCATTATCCCCCACCCCCTCTCCTCCTCAGCCAGCTTTAATCGTTGGTTTCTCACTTGGTTTTTTTTCTTTTCACTGATGACTCATTGGATTTTTCTTATTTCCATCTTCTTTATCTATATTTGCACCATATCATTCTTCATATCAACTCGCAATAATTTTCCTACTTACATCTCTCCTGCTTGATTTTGTTATTTCCAGTTGTGTATTGCATAGTTATTACTCATCTAATATCATCAAATTCACCCTCAGTTACATGCTGAAAGTTACAAGAGCAAACAAAATCTTTTTCTCGCTTTCATTCTAGAAAAAACGTCGCTCTCTTCGTTAAAGAAGGGTGTGGGTGTGTGTTTCATATTTTTTTCACCCACATCCCCACCCACACCCTCATGCTGATAGACAAAGATTACAATATTCTTTTTCTTTTTGAAAACAACATCAAACAGAAGAATATGTCAGTCCTATTATGTAATCATTTTATAGCAAAATTACAATCCATACAGCATTAATATCAGAGCTGCCAATAAGCCGCCATTTTCTGGTATAGACTTCAGGTTTTTCAGAGAAAAGGTGAATTGATTGAAAAGATATATTTGTAGAATACGAGTTAGAATTTATTCTTATTTATACAGGGTGGTAAATAATATTATTCCAGGGGGGTAACACTATGATCTCGAATCGGAGATATCATGAATTTTATACCAAATGAAAGCTCGTGAAAAATGGGGTTTAGTGATAGTAAATAGTAAGACTTTGAAGAACTTTCTTGTATTAATTTATCAAACGTTACGATTTTTATCGACATAAAATATTATAAAATCAGTTCATCGAAAAAGTTCGGGGCTAANCTCCCTCTCCTTCCACCACCCCCACCCCCACCCCCCCACCCACACCCACACCCACACCCACACCCACCCCACACCCACACCCACCCCACACCCACACCCTCAGAACATTATTCGAAGAGAAAATCCAAAACAATTAAATTAATTCGACTTCTTTCAATAGATTTGATTAGATTACTTTTTCAGTTATGGAAGAATCATTTTTAATAAACTTCATACAACTCATATGAGAATCATTTTAATTTCTTATAAGTTGTTACTGTGTCTCATGAGCAGAAACAGCTAGAAATGAGATTAAGAAAATCCTAAAAGTAAAAATCACTAAGAAATTCTAGGAAAATAAATTACAAATAAGTTTTACTTAATCTTAGACCTATAGTCAAATTTGTTTGAAAACGCTGAATTCAAAAATTTTCATTTCAAGTTACCATAACAAATAGATTTAGTTGCTCTTAGAATATTTTGAGTAGGTTTTATCAAAATAAATGTGTCTTTGCTGTTAGAGTGATTATCTCATAAATTATAGCACATTGATTGAGATGATTTTTCTGATAGTTTGCCAGTGCGAGTATTCATATCTGTCAAAGATGAAAATCTCTTTCATTATCAATTCTTATGTAGTTATAAGATGATTTCAAATCGATTTGGTGCATTTGGATTAAACTTCATCGTGTTCAACATAACAGTTACTACTCTGCTCTAAACTAGGTTGTGGGTGTAGTTTATTCCTATTCAATCACCCATACCTACATCCATAGAAAATGCCTTATCTGTAATGTATTACCTAAGTTTATTAAACTTAAACCATATAGTAAACAATTTTCACGCACACATAAATATCAAGAATTAGGTAGATCAATACTATATAATCCTTTTAAAGAACAACAAAAAAAATTAAAAATAAAAAAACTAAATTATGATATAATTGAAAATGAATGTTGTATTAAAAAGGTTGTGGGTATGGGTGTGGATGTGGGCGGATGTGGGATCTGAGTGTCGGGATTGCCTTGTATGTAGGCTTACATATTTTTTGCGGATTAGAGGAATATCCTTACACAGCCCAACACCCACACTCAAGAAAAAAAAAACGAAAAAAAGGGAAGAAAAAGAAAAACAAACAAAGCCTTTTTTATGCGGTACAAGGGACACATGTGTTCTTCCACAAAAAAATGACTCATTATCCATACAGAACATTCAACCAAGTTGGGAATTATTTCTATTGAAGTTTTTTCTTTTTGAAAAATTTCATTTTAATTATTGTATCTTGGTAAGTAACTTACGACTATACTTTCTAAGAGAGTCTTCTTATATTTTAAGCGCCATAATTATGGTAAAGGTATAGTTAGGATACTAATTACAGAGAATGGAGATAAAATTGAAATGGATATTCACCACGGACTTTCGTTTATCTGAAAGAATGACGACTTATTTATAAACGAAAGCCTATCGAAAGTACCAACCTGTATGCATTTTACAGCTTTATTACTTTACTAGTTCTTTCTTGTGGAAATATATCTACATTTGAAATGATCAACTTTCTATTCATGCATACTGTTCTATTTCACGGGTGGTCCAAATGAAACTGCTGTTTTTCAGAACTGTGTTTTGGACAAATAAGTAGCTTTATTTCAAAAACAAATATGGCATTAGAAAGAGCCAAAAAAGTACTACATTTTCATAAAGGAACTTATTTAATGCAATCTCCTTTAGTTTTCAAAACTTTGAGAATGCAACATGACCAAGAATCGATACCGCTCACCAGCCTGAGGATGTGGGTATGTGAGTGCCAATATATCTGTATTCTTTTCCTTCTACACTCATTCACCGTAAAGAACTTCTTGATATGCCTAGCTTACGAGCGATTTCTCATAGTCTTTTTGGCGCTCTTTGCGTGGAAAACGGCCTTTGACCCTGATGACGACACGTTTTGTTTTTACTGTTCGAATGGGTGCTGGTGACTTTTTCAATTCAATATTGTCGGTTTTTAGATATATTGATTTCCCGTGTCGAATGTTTCGTTCACTAACGAAACTGCACAAATCCTTTAAGATTTCTACAAGTGATTTTCCAGCGTTGAGCTAGAACAAAAGTACATTTTGGATATCTTTGATTTTATTCTATATCTAAGACAATATAAGCTACCAGAGAAGAGGTTAGCTGTAGGCTAATAGCACTTGAAAAACTCTACCTCGTAGTATAAGTGTTATTTTAATTCGACGGTTCTGTAAAATTTTAATTAAAAGACTATAGACTGGCAGTTTGATCTGGAACACCCGTTATGTCATTTGCGTCATTTTCTATGTTGATGAGGAGCTACAAAAATAATGTCAATGATTATTCATTCAAGACTGAAGGTAATACCTTCATGCTTCCAAAGTTTGTCCACTGATTAGAATGAGTGGACCGTTAACAATGAGTGCGAAAACTTTTCATATGAAAAAGTTGCTTACTGCACAAACCAAACAAAGTTTCAAAGCTTCTCGTTGATGTAAAAATGTGTGCCGGTGTTAGTGGAAAAATAGTTGCACCCATGCCAAAACCTATACTCAAACCTATACCGATAAATCCTCACTCACACTCATATCCAAATACCGATATCCACATCTACACAGTCATACACTTTCACATACAGCCGCACACACCCAGGGTAGCGACTATCTAAAAGTTATAATTGCATAGATTGTGCATTTATTGGTCTATAAGATGATTTGGCGAGAAGCTGTCTTGCATTCTTCTAATTTTTTACATGCTTTTCTATCTTTACTTGTAGTAGGATACTGTTAATCAAGTTGAAGAACTGATGAACATGGAGAGATCTAAACGCTACGGGAATAACGGTATTTTAGAGCTTGTAAAAGGACAAATCGGACCAATATTCGGTTACGAGAATTCACCCCTTATGACATTAGAGAACGCGGTGAAAAATATGACATCATTGCTTCCTGGTCTCATGGAGCACGTTGCTCAAGCCAAAGCAAAATGCAATAAAACAAATGCTTACAACCTGACACTGGACGAATCAACAGCAATATACCTGTATACGATGCCCATAAGCTTCTTTTATCATCTAAACGAAGACCTACGAGCTGAAAACCGACATAAACTCAAACGTTGGTTTGGCTTTTTGAAACTATTTATCAATAGTCTGAAAAAATTGCCACCAGTCAACACACAATTGTGGCGAGCTGTTAAGGGCAAAGTTGGCAAAGTTGGCAAAGATTTTAGCAACGATGAAGTAAAAACGTGGTGGAGTGTCACATCGTGCTCGAAGAAACTCAATGTTGTTGAAGCTTTCCTAGGTAGTGCGGAGGGCACATTATTCTTAATCAATGCACATCAAGGCAGAGATATAGCCGCATTCTCCGCCTTTCCAGAAGAAGAAGAGGTCGTGCTACTGCCTGGAAGCCGTCTGCATTACCATCCAGACGAACATCTTGAACACAACAATTCTTTTTTCATTGTTCAATTAAGAGAACTTCCATTGGGTGCAAACGATGATAGGTTAGTCCATGTGAAATATAGTCGAAAGCCGAAAACTTTGAAACATTAGAACCTGTTGAACTTCTCTAACATCGTGGTCGATAAGAATCTTTTCGGTTCCACACAGAGTTACCGAAAGGAAAACGAGACTCGATGACTTTGTCGCGGAGCCAACAAAGATTGAGTATTTTCGCACCGAGATAAAAAGATTCCTCCTCCGAGAATAGCTTCAGTTTAAAATCAATCTGTTCAGAATGCAGGGTTGTTATGAAGATCTCCATTTGAGTTGGAAGGTTTAAGTTTTTGACAAGTTTAGATTCGAAAAAAGCTTTGAGGAATAATGCAGTGAAAGCAAGAAACATAATACATTTCATGAGTGTCTAAATCGTACATAAGTTTCTAACCAGCTTTACGCATAGTCGTTGTTTGACTTTAGCATGAAGTATGAGGCTCGCTTTTTAGATGTTTTCCCGCATTTCTATGTAAATGAAGGTTTCTCTAGAAATGGTTTCTCTTTACTTAACCTTGTCATATACTTTATTATCCTTTGAAAGTTCCTAAATGTGTCATGTTTAACTCAGACTTGTCCAATATGAGTATGCAGAATTAGTTTAAATGGGAGATCGTTTGATTCATGCATTTGTGATGATTCTTTGACGAAACATAATAGAAACACGAAATCATGAGAAGTTTTCAAATTGCGGTGAGAAATGCTTTCAATTCTGTTTATCAGGTGTTGTATGACAGACTTTGAGTTCTAATTTGTTAAATGATTTCAATCGCCATGATTCTTTTTTTTATATCACACAACTGCAACGCATCGGCTCTTAACTCCTAGTAACCGTTATCACATATTGAATTTTTCGAGTATCTCTTTCGCTATTCATATGTTGTAGCACTATGCCTAGATTAAAATATGAATAAAAAAGTTTCGCAATAGCTGATGAAGCTTTCGATATGAGCTAATAACGTTACGAACGATATATCTGGAGAAATAGAGGCTTAGAATATCAAGATAACATATTGACGAGAAACTAATCTAGCGAAAAACAGGAAATGCTTACAGCTGCACTCTGAACCATCTTCATACGATACTAGTGAATCAAAAAATACGCATCTTTGACGCTGTGTAATTAGTGCAGATTTTCTCTTAAGATAAGGTTTGAAAAATCAAGTATACTTTCGAGTGAGACACTTAGAATTTTACAAACACAATAGAATCTGTTCCATAGCCAAAACTTGTTCCAACAATCGTGGCTCAGCATTTCTAAAACTTTTAAAGTTCTTTCCACTGTTAATAAGGCATTGTTGTCCCAAACCAATCGCATTAGCTGAAGGATAGGAGTGAAGATGAAGAGAGAATTGTAACGCTTTTACGAATACCTTCGCGTTCTCATCACTACGTCTTTATTATGTATTATTCGATATAGCTACCTGTGAAGCTAATTCATTATGCATTTTATTCTTTAGGAAGTTACAGCATGAGTCGCCACACAGTATCAACGAAGAACCACAGAACCGAAACAGGTAGATATTAATTGAAATCATTATTTCGACAATATGATAATCAAAGAGAAAAACGGATTCAGAGTTTTTCGGTTGCATATCTGAAAGGATGTTTTCAGACTTTGATCTCTTTCGAACTCCTAATGGGTTCTCATACACTAAAAATTACAGAAATCTGTGGTTTTCTCTGAAATATAAATTTTTATAATCGAATTCTTAACGTGATTTTTTCTTTGCTCGTTTTCACATGAAGAAAATGCAGCTGGCCATCGTTCCTACGATCAAGATGGTTTTGTATTTCGTCGATGTGCATTTTAACCACTGTCATTATTATAACCATTTCGCTTTCTCTAATACTGAAATCAAACATTTCGACAACAACGGTCTCTTCTCCAGGTATGAACAAAGCATCTGTTAACGACTCGGTTTTTCCCTTATTTTGTTTCTAGCTTTAATAAAAATGAATCTATCATATGGCTAGAAAGGAGTCTTAATTATCAAATAAGAAGGGTTGAGCGACACTTCAATTTGAAACAAAAAAGTTGCGTCTTTAAAACCATCTCCATGTTTGTCATAGTCGATCTATAGAGTGAACGCAAAACTTCACTTTTATTGTCCAGTAGTCTATTGATTTGTCTGTTATTGTTTTACGTTGCTGGAGAAGACATTCAATTGAGATTTTATTTCTCAGCTTCATCCAGTTTTTGGCACTCTTTCTCCTAATATTAAGGAAATCATTGATCGAGAAAAACCTGTAATAGGTGAAATGAATCTCGGATTGCACTTTTCAATAAACTTCAACTAGGTAGTACTTTACAGGTTTAGAAAACTAGACTTTCAGCAGCTCAAATCAAGATACAAAAGCTTTTGATCTAGAGTTACCAGATGTTGTTGATTGGCAAGACTCTGTCAAACCAAAAAAGACTTGAATTTTCATGAATGTGTCGTATATTAGATCGATCATGGAAATTATCATAGCTATTTAAGTAAATAGGTCATATTTGTAATGGCAGTTGTGTGCTAGGTCTGGATAGAGCAACATATTGGAGTATGACCTTACTTTGCTGCCTTCAAATATATTTCTCAAGGTAGTTTTCTCTTACATCTTTGATATGCAAGGGCTTTCAGTTCTGTTCTTTCCAAATTTTTCAAGAAGATAACTCGACAGATGATAAAACATTAAAACTTCAATATACTTTTGAATGTGAATGTTTTTATTCTCAAACAGTTCTTCGTATCGGCTAATATCATTTGCAATTGTGTACCGAAGCTAATAGTCTTAAAAAGATATCTGTATTCGAGAAAGTATTTAAAAATTCCATCTTAGACATTGAGTTTATCGCAAGTAAAAATTATTCACTCAAAAATCGCTCGCCTATTTACTCTATAAATTTTCTTTAGATATAATGACATCAACATCAACAACGGTTGTTTTGAATCTTCTCGTTAATGGTGGTGCCGAATCTGGACTGTCTAATTGGATACAAACTGGTATAATACTTGTCACAACCGATTCAGGCAGTGAACATACTGGTTACTATCCCAACTCAGGATCTAATTGCTTTTATGGTGGTAGTGGACTCTTGGGAAGTGAATCCAGCCTGCTTCAAAACGTCAATTTACTCATTGGTGTTAAGAATTTTAGTACTACTCAATTAGACTCTGGAATATTATCGGCCAAAGTTACATTTTATTATCAGAACTACGATCAAACTATTGGTACTAGCGACAGAGTTCAAATAGTTCTGAGTTTCAAATCGGCTAGCAACAGTATTCTAGCGAATACAAGTACAGGAGAACTAATTTGCCCGAATAGGCCTGGTTGGTGCCAAGCCAGTTTTATGTATCCACTGCCAGTTGGCTCCAGAAGTATTGATTATATAATGAGATTTATTAGATCTATAGGGATATCAATTGAGTCTTATATTGATGACAACTCACTAAGCATCATTTGAACTCTTTTTGTAGCTTAAATATTCAATATTTAAAAACTAGAAGGTTCTAAAAGCCCTTCTAAGACACTGCCTGTTAGGATCTGACTTCTATTGTCATTCTCGTTTTTCCACTGATTATATGACGTGTCGTTATTTCTGTGTTTTCTTATTTTTGTTTTCTTTCCCTCTCCAACATATAAAATAAACAAACAGTCAGATACTGTATATCATCAAACTCACTTGTCTTTATATTATCACCATTGTACGTCGTGGAGCATCTTACACTGCCGATGCTATACTAGTACTTTAAGTTGTTCTACTCTCTTAAGAAAAGGAGGTCTACAGAAATCTTCATGGTTTCTATCTTCTACCTGAGTCAAGAACAGGAATACCACCTGACAAAATGAAAAAAGAGGAAAGTTGACTTAGGAAAGCGGAGAATTGTGGGGAAAAAGCGGACATTTTTTTCGTTGTGAAATTTTAGCATTTATGAGAATTTCGCGCGTTTTTCGTATCTATAGAATTCTGCTTTTATTTTAACAAAATTGAAAAACATAAAATATTGCTGTAATTAATAAGAATAACTATGTTTTATTCTATGGTATACAACATTATCTTCTGCAGCTATTTTGGGTGTGGGATGGACTGCAGTGTGGATATGGGTATGGGTGGATGAAGGTATGAGGTTCAGCTTTAGTGAACACTCACCCCTGATATTTTTTGTGCGACACATTTGTTTGTAGTTGAATAGGTGGTTTTCCGGTGTTGAAGTTCTTGACCTTGTTCGCTGGGATACGATTTTTTGTTATATTTTTATGTTTTGTGGGCCGTTTTCTCAATCTTAATTTTTGGCATTAGGTTTGTCAAGTGATCATGTTTATTGTGATTCCTATCACATGTGCACAGTCGGTAAGTGATGTCTATCTAGAACAGAGAAAGGTATACATTCTATTGAAACATGTGCTTACAAGGATTTCATGATGAATAAAAGTGTTCGTTGCAGTAGCATTTATTTGTAAAAACAGAAGAGAGAAATCGAAAATGGATTAGTTTTTTCAAAATTTTTAACGGTTATGATTATTTCTCTGTTGTAAGGAGTTTTCGGGGGTGGGGGGGGGTACACGTTAGAGAAGAAGGGCACTCACACTACATCCTCATAGACGAACTGAACTACAGAGAAAGGAGAGAATAACAAAATAAAATAAGATACAAAAGAAAGACTACTGAGAGAAAAATGTGAAAAATTAATTTGAATTTTTATAACATCAACATTATCCTAAGGTTTGTCTCCTTTCCATTTTTTTGTTGTGTCATTTTTTCTTCTTGCTTTTATTTTTGTCGAGACAGTGATACCATAAATAACTATTATTTATTTTGTTCTGCTTTTCCTTTTGGTTTTCTATATTATTTGTTTTTTCATAAAAAATATCTATTGATAAATGTGTTTCTTGTCGTTTACTACATACATGCCACCGATTAACTAATACATGCTTGGAAAAAACGTTTTTGTCCGACTATCTTGGATCATATATTTGTATTTGTGAAGTTCAGAAAAAATTTTTCGTAGAGCTAAAATATCTTGAAAGGCTGTAAATGTATTGAAATGTAAGTATAATTGTTTGTCTTTTCTTCATCTAAACCTCACACTCATATCCACCTGTCCAATATATTTTGTTTCTTCATTGATCTTTCGAAGTGAGCAACAGTTGAATGGTTCAATGAAACTTCTATCTAAATCTAGGAACATTACAAACAAATGAACAATAGAAAGAAAAAGATAACGTAAGAGATACAAGGCTAAAAAGTGTGCAAAAGAGTATTTAAACTGTCAGTTTCATTATTGGCGACGGCAATATCTAGTTTTTTGTCATTGTTAAAGTCTCTAACGACAATGGAGAATGGATTGGATCCAGATTCCAAAGAAAATGGGGCAATATTTGCAAATGTACGATTATCATATCCAAGAAGTACACCCAGATTATTGTGGTCGTGATTCGCAACCACTATGTCTTGTACACCATCGTTATTAATGCCATCAACAGCAAGAGAGTATTGAGACGAATTTGATCCTGTTAAATACGGCATCACATTTCCAAAAGAGTCGTTTCCATCTCCAAGAAAAATACCAACATAGTCCTAGGCACAACTACCAAAAACAATATTGACTCGAGTATCACTGTTGAAATCACCAACACCCATAGCACATGGAAATCAATATGGATGAGTTGACTATGTCACGTGATTTTCAAAAGATATATTGCCATAAGGAAGAAAAATATCAATGCTGTGAGTAAGCGCATTGACAACATCGATATCCCTTAGATCATCATTATTAGCATCACTAATCACTAACGGCTAATCACTAACAGCTATAGAATATGGATGAGAGCCAACTGAAGACCTTGTTTGGTTTGCAAAAGAACCGTTCGCATATCCAGGAAGGACAGTCACATCATCACTCATAAGATTGGCGGCAACAATATCTAGTCGAGTGTCGTTGTTGAAATCGCCAACAACTACAGATTGTTGATCAGAGCCAACTGAATACCGTTTCTCATTTAAAAAGCTCTTAAAATGACCAATGAGAGCATCTATGCTACCAGTATCGTTGCTGACCGCAACCATGTCTAATTGATGGTCCTTGTTGAGATCACCTACTGCGACAGATATCAAAGAATAAGATCCAGTTGAATACATGATTGGATTTTGAAAACTGCCGTTTCAACATTCAAAGAGTAGACCTATATTGTCAATGCCATTATTAGTGATGACGATGTCTAATCGATTGTCTTGGTTGAAATCTCCGACGTCGATCACACATGGAGAAGCAGAACAAATGGAATAGGTAGCTGAATTAATAAATGTCCTATTGGCGCTGTTTAGAAGTACACCTATTTCATGAGTTCCAAAATTGGCGATAGCTATGTCGGCAAAGTTGTCGTAATTGAAACGGCTAACAGCGATTGAGTATGGATAAGAACCTAATCCAGTCGAAAAGGTAATTTGTTTTTCAAAAGTTCTGTTGCTGTTTCCAAAAAGTATGCCAATATTATTGGTGTCATAATTAGCAATGGCGATGTCTAAATAGTTGTCGTTATTGAAGTCCCCAAAAGCTAATGAAGATGGAAAAGAATCATAGCCTGTTGAATAAGTAATTATAGGGAAAAAAGTTCCATGACTAGCTCGATAGAGTATACTAACACTGGGAGTTTCATAATTGGCGGTGGCAATATCAAGTAGTAAGTCGTTGTTGAAATCGGCGGCAATAATTGCTATTGGACGAGATGAACCTGTTGAAGATTCTATTTGACTTGAGAAAGATCCATTTTCAAATCCATAAAAAATGCTAATACTCTTAGAAATCGTTCACATTCGATATCATCATTCGCTATTCTTTGTTGAAGAACCTCGCTTAGTGTATGTTATTAATTCCTATCGGGGCTGCTCTGACTTTCTTATGACACTCTGAACTTGATCATAGTGTATGTAGGTATAACTATCATCGCTGCTTAAGCTTTAGATAATTTGAGATTACATTGAATGAAATTTTCAGGCTAACTTTATTAAAAATATGCATTTCACAGAATGGAAATATGTTCGCATTCCCGGTATATTATCAACTTGAACTTTCAATATAAATAATGAAGATTTACAATTGCTACTTCTATTTACATCTTTCCCATTTTTGAAGTGGGCTTTAAAGCTAGAAGACATTGTTAAGCAAGTCTTACTTTAAAATTGAGATCGAGAAAAATAAAAGATCCTATTGTATATGGTCTCGGTATGTATGAATCCCAGTTGACTACAATAGGAATGAGCCAGCTTTATTATGAAACTCTGGAATTGTTTTTGATCGTTATTATTTGCATTGTTGAATCATATGAAACATACTCGATACGATTTTGCCTTTGTGGATGTATGTCGAAATAGAATACTATTGATTAATAAATGGATTGACACATTGTTTTTAAAAGACTCTAAAACACACTATGCTCTCATATACACCCGTAGAACGAATCTTTAGCATGACTTGTAGCATGTTTGCCACCGTCTCTTCATTCATGACTCTCCCCGTCTTTGCCATAAGAACTCACACTGTTACAATGCATATTTGCCTCGATCCAATTTCGATGTGAATACTAGATAGATCTTTACTCTATATTTATCAATTCAAAGGTAAGAATCAATGAATTTCAGATGAAGTTCATTCAAGGGAACTTCTTTCAGAAAAATTAATTTTTCGAAAAACAACTCAATTTTGAGATTGGTACATATTCTGATAATCGTTGTAATAGACGACAACCTATCATGATTGCTTTCGTCAAAACATATGCATTCGTCTTGTTCTCTAGGAATGCTCGACTGAAACATAATGCGTGTTTCATAGTAACTGAGGATGCAATGCTAATGATATTTTTCATACTTTTGTTTGATCAATAGGCCTGAAACATTCAGAACTAAGAGATTTTGATTAGTTATATACGATATGAAAATTTTAGCTCTCTCCGTCAAACAAAAGTATGAAAATATCACTAACCAAAATATTAATAAAAACATGCGTGGCTAGAAATGACATCTATGTATAAGGAATCATGACCACAATTTTAGGCATAATATGTACTTCTAACCATATTACTATATATCCACATATACGCCATCAATGAAGCTTGACGAGTAGTGCGGAAATATTAGACCAATATGTAGGTTTATTTCGAAAAAGACTGACTGCATCAAAAAATTTGTTTTTTTGTTTTTCTCAAAAGCAATATTTTTCGAGCGTGCCATTTACACAGACAAACTTTTCTTCATAATGCCTCGATTGGGAAGTGACATTTTTTTTATAGTAGATAGGTAAGGCTAGGTGGTTACAGAGCCGATTTTTGCATTTCTCTTTTGCTGAAATAAAATCTGTAGATCTATCGTTTTGACCAGTAATGTTTTTGGTCATGAATTCAAGAATTTTTGAAAAACAGGATTTTTAAAAATTAAAGCAAGGAAAACTCAAAAGTTGAACCTTGTTACGATCTAGCCATAGGGACAATCTACAAATCTAAAAACCCCCAGGTATGTCAACTCGTATCCTTATAGTGAAAATCTTGTCCGCGTACAGGGTACTTTGGATCAATAAATTGATTATAACTCTTTAGTTTATTGTAGTTTTGAGGGAGATATATCACTCATAATCTATCTTATCATAGACTAATATCCTTCGAAAAATCTGGGTGAAATTAGATAAAAAAAAACAAAGTTGGTTTATTGCATAAAAAAAATCACGTTTGATAGAAATCAAAACTTCGTAATTCTTTTTGAATGATTATTTAAATGAGAGAAAGAACTTGATTTTACTCACATCTTGATGGTTAGTGTTGTCTATTCTATGTGTATATTCATAGTAAATCGATGTCAGACTTGGGAATGTTTAAAATATTCCATCGCTGAATGAGAGTATTGGATATCGAACTTATGATGTTGGTGTGTCTGTAGTAATCTATAAGTTGAATGAGACTGATAATTTTTGTGCAAACACTGTTTATTGATTGTCTTCTCTGAAATTTCACCAAAAAAAAAAAGCGTTATATTTTTTTAGAAATCGCTATTAATATATCCCATATATAACTTTGTTTTCTTAGATTAGAAAGTACCTTCGATTCGTCTGGTCTGGCTTTGCAAAACAAGAAAGAGAAGCTTATTTAAACCGATCCATATGAGAAAACTTTCGAAAATTTTGTCGATATCGTTCGGAAATAGTCTAAGATATTCTAAATCGTAAATGCGCCAGTCAGAACTGAGTACACTGTTTCAATCATTTAAGAATCCTTATTTTCATACATTCTTTCCTCAGAGAACTTTCGATTATACAGAAAACCCACTCGTTCTTCGAGTGACTTATAGTAGTCTCCGATCTTATTCAAGTATCAAAGATAAGAAGGAAATAATTGCTTTCGTTATTTAACTCGACGCTTATCAATGTATTTGATTATCCACATTGAAAGTTGCTTGTACAAAGAATTCAAGCGAGACAATTCTATGTGGTACTTATGCTCACGCTGGTTAACTTTTTCTGATCTTGATCTTTCTGTTTGTTAATTAATCTTCTTCTTCTTCGAATACTTATCGTATATCCATCATGTTTTGTTAAATAGTATTGTTTGTTCTCTTAGATCAAACTATCGATTTTCGATTGATTTAATGAAATGTGACTGGATGTAATTGGAATTATTCTATCAGCTAACTAATTTCAGACAAGTACTGACTCATTGTCCAACATGAGTGTTGATGATGAATCGTAACTATCAATCTTATGAAATTAAATTTGAAACAGTCTATGATACAAGAATGCACATATGCAAATAGTTTTGACAATACCCTTAAATAAAATTCTCTCTACCGAAAGTAATCAACAAAATAGTCCATTGTATGACATTCGTTGAGACTTTCTCAAACCATCTACCATCGTGAAAATCTTAAGAAAAATATCTTTAAGTAAGCCATGGATATCGTTTCAAAGTCCAATAGAGCTCGTCACTTATTAGAGAAAAGTAACTATGCATATATATTTCTCATTTGCATCATGATTACAAGGTACCCGATGAGAAAAGAGAAATATGTTCTAATTTGTTTAACTACATTGGATCGTGTAAATAGGGTGTGAATCTGAGGAAGAACTACATCCACACCCACGCCCACGCCCACACCCACCCAGAGCCATACCCACACCCAAACCCACACACCCACACCCACACCCTCCAATTCCACCTGCGACTACTTTTCCTTCGGGCCATTTCGTTACAGAATGAGTGTCCATTGGCATCGGTATATAAAAAGATCCTTCGTCATCTTGTGCTAATGTATAACAGTAAACGCCTGAAAAAATCGTTTGTCCTTGAGTAGCGTTCTTATACCATTGCTGTAGACGTTGGTTGTCACTATCACAAATATACCATGTTCCATTTTTATCAACTATCGCGTCATTTGGATAGTTAAGTTGATCACTTCGATCTCCTCTTCCGTTACCATCTGCTACTACTTGTCCAGTTTTAGTTTTAGGCATTCATTTGATAATTCGATGATTAAAACTATCAGCAATATAGACGTCATCATTTTCATTCACGAATATAGATTCTGGATAATATAGATCATTAAACGGAGTACCTTCTGTATGTCTTCCGAGAACTGTAATTCCATTCGGATTCCATGTTGCATTTGCACAAATACCATCAGCAAGATGTGGTAGCGTACCTAGATTGTAGAAAGTAATAGATAAAATCTATTTTGACTCTTACTTGTCTGCGGCCATGTTATCTCCGGACAAATATTTTGATTCGCCATGTCATTTGGGTAACATATTGAATGACTATAGCAACGTGGATGCTTTACACATATGTGTCCAGGTGCATAGCACGTTTTATTATCAGAAGCACATGAGTTTAATTGAGAACATCAAGGTAAAATGTAAGCACATATACCATTAGTCTCATTAGAAGCTAGAGAGAGACATCCACATCCCATATTCGATGAACATGAACTATACTGTAAAGAACTTTGACATAATTGACACTGCCCATTGTCTATTATATCAATGAACGTGAAGAATTAAGCACTTCGAAGAAAAACAAATATACCTGACAAGCTAAAAATAAGCATGACGTAACACACATTTTAAAGCATAGGCATGTTACGTACCTCAGAGTTATCAGAAGTAAAACATATATCAGTTCTATTCTTTTCATCTCGTATTTTATTTTGTTTTTGTCGCTCTACAGTAAGTTATATATAATGATGAAGAGCCAAACCAACGTCACATGATAAGATACTGTTTTATCATAATGACTGTTTTTTTTTTCATTCTTATTTTCAACCACGCCACTGTTTTCTAAGAAGTGCCTCTTTTAACCACGTATTAGAATGTGTGTCATCTTCATTGGCGTTGTCGAATGTTCTATAAGAGGTAGAATTTCTTCTTTTGAGTTGAAGAAAAATGGTCAAAAGAAATGTGTTAGCACAATTTTCGGATAGATTCTGGCGAAGTTACCGCGTTATTGGCATTTATTTTGAAAAAAAACGTTCATGTTTTGAGAATCTTTAAATCAGAATAAGAGAAGACTTATTTATTGTTTTGAAATAATATCTAAAATTGAAGATTCAGTATTTGTTAGATCGTTGCTTGTTTTAGCAATTAGAAAAATGACAGTGAAGAGAATTTTTTGAGGTGAAGTTTGTTCACTTTGAGAAACAGAGAAGGAAATCCTTTGCATTGTTTAGTAAATATGATGTAGGAAGGTCAATTGATATACTACTGATTTCGTGCGATCGATTGAGTTAGAATTGAATACGTAAGGAAAAATTGAATTAAAATCGTTTGTTCGAAAAGATGGGAGTACAGAGTTATACATAACTTTTTTTCTATGGAGTACAGTTCACACTCCGAGTTCTGGAAACATATTATGTACAGTCGTGCATACAGGAGTAGATGAGAGTGCAATTTATTCTATAAGGATATCCATAGGATCTCATTGCTTTTCCAATAGAGCTATCCAAAACTCATCGATAGCTATTTAGAAAGTACTCAGAAGTTCTCAAAGGCTGTCCTTTCGGAGTACTTATTAAGTAGGTGTATAAAAGCTGCACACTGGAAGAAAATCTGAACAAATGAACTCTAAAGAAATTTCATGATTTGACACAGTTCGAAATTTTATCTTACTTTCTTATTATACTATGGAACTCTCAACACAGTTTTCTAGGCGCTTCTAAGGTTTTTGCAAGAGTTTTGTAGTAATATGCAAAACTAAAAATGGATTTCGAATTAGTATCAAAGCTCGAAATCTTTCAAGGATTTCCTAGAATGTTGTGAGACCATTTTTAGCTCTTGTATCCCAAGACTTTTCTCGGAAGAGTAAAGTTCGCTCAATTGGAGTTAATGAGTCAACTCTCGTCGGGATCTCTGACTGAGCTCTTGAACGACATAGATCTGAAGCAGCTATGCATCTGATTATGAAATAATCTTTGATTAAGGGGAATTTCAAAGTTTACTCAAATTTGAAAATGCAGTTTGCACATGTAGTCATAATAATTGTGAAGAAAAGTCACCTGATTACATGACCAAGTTACATCTAGCTAAGAGAAAACAGTTCACTTTTACTTCTTGAAGGAGAACTTAATTCGATAACTTCGGTGATGCCGTTTAAACCAGTATTTCATATTATTTCAGTGTAGAAAAAGTTAAAGAAAAATAAAAAGATTTATCTTTTACCTTGATTTTAATGTACTCGGTATAAAAACAAAATTTATCTATATAATAATAGAAACAAATGGATGAAGAGAAGACGCATCAGAGTGACAATGGACATATTGAAAATGGTTTAAATTATTATCTTAAACAAAAATGGAAACTATTTGTCACTTTATTTAGTGTATTTAGTTTTATATCAATGGTAAATTCTTTTATTTTTTTCAATTTCTAGTAAAATAATTATTTTTGTGCTTATAATTATTATTAAAACAAAAAATAAAGGCCATGGAACTTGAAATTTCTGGTTCAACCATGTTACCTTTGAGTATTCAAGTAAGAACTAATTTGGCTAAATTATCTTGGATTATTGCGGCAAAAAATTTTGGATACATGATGGTAGTTGTTATTTTTGGACTCTTTTTTCAATCAACTATCAAAAATTATTCAGAATTCATTTTACCCATTGCTTATATTTTACCATTTATAGGTATTTAATTATTTTCAGCAAATAAAAATCAATTCTGATCCTATTTTTATGCTTAGCAACGGTATTAACTCCATATCTACGATCTTTATGGACACTTTGCATTGCTTTATTATTTCAGGGAATATCACATGGTTTGATAGACTTAGGTAAACATCATTATTTTTTACAAATAGAAATTCGTTAATATTTGTTGATTAGCTTTAACTACATTGATAACAAGTATGTGGTTAGTGCGTTGCACAGCACCATTAAATTGTATTTATTTTGGTTATCCTGTCGGTGCTTTACTGTCTATTATTATTGTTCGATTATTTCGTCCAGATGATCTTTTTATTGATGAAAATGACATTAAATATTCAAATTCTACAATAATTATGAAAGAAAATTATTTTCAATCAGAATTAGTTGGAGCATATACAATGACATCAATATTTTGTTTAATTTCTTCAATAGGATTTGCTTTGATAGCTTATAAACAAAATCAATGCAAAAAGAAAGGAAATTCAAAAAAGCTAGTCACTCTACCATCGGATATACACGAAAAAATAAATATTCGATCGAAATCTAAAAGATCATTAAATAAATCAAAATTGTGGAAAACTTTTAGTCCAACAACATGTGGACAAGGTTATATAGCTTACGGATTTATATTAATATCTCTCATATCATTATTTGTTCTTTTCTTTGGTAAGAATTTTATTTTTTGTTGATAAATTTGGAAAAGAACAAATTTTGTCTATAGGTGGAGTTGAACAAGGTTTTACCAAATTCTTTATTTCATTTGTTGAACATGAACATATAAATCCAAATAGAAAAGATTCTATTTATTCGATGATTTTTTATTGGCTACCGATGTTAATTGGACGAATATTTACAACTATTTTAACTGTTTCATGGATAAGTCCATATATTATGTTGACAATATCATTATGTTTGTGTTTATTAACATATTTATTATGGATTTTATTTATTTGGTATTTCGGCTTAAATCGTATATCTCTATTTCTATTAGTAACAGCGAATGGTTTATCAATATCGCCAATATCTCCAACGTTGATTGGTTGGATAAAACAATTTTTACAATTGACGCCGATTGAATTATCATTCATATTATCATCAAATGCAATTGGTGGAATTACATTTGGACTTATTTCAGGTTTCATATTTCAATATTACGGTTCAAAACATTTATTTACTATGTTGATTATTTTGATATCTATCATGTTTATTTTATTTATGTTGACTTTATTTTTGCAACGCTTTCATTCGAAACAAGAAAAAATAAGTCAAACAAATAAAATAATTAATGAAGAAGATTATATATTGGAAACATTTCTTGAACATGATCAATATAACTAGTTACACAAGAACTATCATTACTAATAATTAACATCAATTATATTGTTAAGATATTTTTATTTAAAAAAAAAATTATTTATCTATGTGTTTCGCATGAGAAACATTATTTTTAAAACTATTGAAATGATAATTATATATATATATATATTATTTAGTTTCTTATGACGTTTTTTTCACATAGTTCACTCACAAAATTATACAGCAAAAGACTGGAATGGAGGTAGTATTCCTTGATAGATGATTAAGTAAGGTAGTATGACGAGGGACTATAAACAGTGGGTAACAAAATTGGTCAACCACATAGTTGATATTTTTTGTTTTCTTTATATCTCAAAAACTAAAAGAGCTAGAAAGGTTAGGTTTTCATTATATGATAGCCCATAATGTGTAGTACTTATACTCAAAATTTCAAATGAAAATCTAACAAAAACTTATTGTCTTTTACCGTTCCAAAATGAATCAACCAACATCAAAAACAACAATATTTGTGTCGAAAAGAGAAGTTTATTATTATTTTAATATTTTGTTGAATATCCTTTCATACGAGAGTATTTATAGAAATGATTAGAAACAGATTCAACCAAAATTTTAGTCACATTTTCATCAATATGATACCATTCCAACTTAAGTGATTCTCGAAGCTCTTTCTCATTTTTTTGGCTGATATTTTTTTATACGGCGTTCGAGTTCATCCCAAACGTGTTCGATGGAGTTGAGATCAGGTGAGAACGAAGAGCAAACCAACCGTTCCACGTGTTTTTCATCAAGCCGATTCTTAACAATATGTGCAGTATGCTTGGGGTCGTTGTCATGTTGAAACACCATGCTAGTACCCAATTCTAATTTATTCGATGATTGACACAAATTCTCAACTAAAATGTCTGTGTACATTTCCCCCGTCATATTGCCTTAAATAAACGCTAGATTCCCTTTTGGATCAAATTCTTTGTTTGGTGTTGGCCGTACCATGACCTTACCATTTGATCTGAAGAGATTTACTTTGATTCGTCTGACCATAAAACATATTTCCAGAATGCTATCCCTTTGTCCTGATATATTTTGACGTAATTCAAACGTTTAACTCTGTTTGCCTTATTTACGTAAGGCTTTTTCCGAGCAACATGTCCATATAATCCATCTTCATGAGCATGAAGATGAACTGTTTGGCTTAGTATTGTTATTCCCAACTCTTGCATAATCTCATGTTTAACAGACGATCGACTTTAATTTTTCGTTGAGTAGTCTTGTCCAATCTAGTTGTTGATTTCCATTTTCGACTTCTACCAGCCAAGTTAGCAATACATTTTGTTGTTTTATACTTCGTAGTCATATGTTCTTTTCGTGCTGGAGACATGAATGTTTAGTAAGACGATAATTCAATAAAATGATTTTGTCGTAACCAAATATGTGTCTGTTACATAGACGAACATGTATATATACTAACTGAACTTAGATAAAAGAAACATTCAATCAAGAACGACTACTATCACATTTCTTTTTCTTTGTTTAATTAATTTTGGAACGGTAAAAAGTTATAGGTTCTTGTTAGAAGGTGTGGGTGTGAAGTGGGTATGAAATCTAAGTTTGGACGTTTAGAGTGTAGATATACACGACGACATACATGCATCTCACATCTACATGTAGAAATTCTAATGATACAAATATTGGTATTATATATCAATCATATATTAATAAAGATGTAAACTTACATTTTACATAAAATTTTATTTTTCTTAATATTGGAACCGGTGAAAGTATGATTCTTCATCATTCGAGTATGAAAGGTGTTTATGATGATACAGCTGAAATAATGGTGTATGGCCATCGAATGAAAGCAACTATCGACTATTGAGATTAGTGTAAATTTTTTCAGCAAAAACTACTAGTATTTATCCATTTTTTATTTTAATAACCAGTTGCTGATTAAAATCAAATTGCTCTATATATTTCATTATTTTTTACACTGGTACTCGTGATGAATGTCGACGTGCATGGGAGAAGAAAGAAGCTCAAAAATCGAATAGTAAGTAAGCATTCTTTTTCGACAAGTTAAGGCTCGATTGTTTTAGATATTGATGAAGAAGATCATTCCGAAGGTGAAAAGGATGTAAATAATGATAAACAAGCTGTTGATTTAATTAGTTTATTAAGTAAGTAGAGCCTTCTGAATTTGTAGAAATAAATGTACTTTCAAATTTTCACATTCTTGAACATACGCCGATGTTCTTATCCATAATAAGTAATATGATGTTTCATCATTTAATGAACTGACTTACTGGAAAGAAATAGTAGAAAGAAAATATTGTTTAATAAAAAGATTGTTTTCCTGGCAATTTTTCTTTATTCCATTGTGATAGAATTAATATTGATTGTTATTTACTATATTTTCAGCTTTAGATTCCTTAAAAGAAAACCATAGACACTACAACAAAAATGTATTCCGCTTGATCTACATGTGAAAATTCATCATCGTTTATCAGCAATACATTCTGAAACAACAAAAACAATTAATGATCTTCCAACAAATATTCAAGGTACACTCTCATTTATGAACTAACCCTTACATATTTAATAGTTTTTATTCAGTGAATTTTTCTAAGATTAATGATCGTCAGCAAACCTAAAGCATAAGCTAACATAAGAATTTTCATAGAATGTGTATAACCTCTACAAATTTTACATCCATGAAAAATTTCATTTCCACAGTATGTATGCACAAATGTGCTGTTCTCTATTTTGGGTGATGATTTCGCTGGTGATGAAAAAAAAACTATGAACTTGTAACATCTCCATCAAGTTTTAATTGTTTAACTTTTTTTATAGCAAAATCAATGTATCATCGATGTTTTTTAGTTTCATCTTTGAGGGTGTGGGTGTGGGTGTGGGTGTGGGTGTGGGTGTGGGTGGGTGTGGCTGTGGGTGTGTACGTGTGTGCGGCGGTGTGCGGCGGCCCGGGCGTCCGGCGGCGGCGCGCCCG